GAACCTTTGTAGATGATGAAACAGTCATCAATATATCTTTTGAACAACAACAAATTGTTGATAAAAGGATTATTATTAAAGATATATTGATCTTCAAGGTAACCAAGATATAGGTTTGCATAGTCAGGGGCCATAGTGGCACCCATTGCTGTACCCTCAATTTGTAGATAAAATTTGTTCTCAACGAGGAAATAATTATTTGTCAAGACTAATTCAGCCATATCCACAATAAATTTGGTTGGCAGACCTTCATCATCACTGCGTAGATCAAGAAAATATTTCAGTGCCAAAAGGCCCTCAGTATGGGGAATGTTAGTGTATAAAGTAGAGCCCGACCGATATATCGTTTTGCCGATATAATAGGCCGATATGAGCCTGTCGCCGATATATCAGTATCGGCGAATATGCCACCGATATGAACATTTTTTTTACAGAACATATAATGCAGATAAAATGCTTGAAATGGTGTAATTACTTAGTTTGTCCAGCAGAGCGCGCTCCATTGTTTGTTACTGGCGACCTGGATGAAACGCTTTAAAGCTTAAGTCTATGGAAAACCATTGAAACTTTAAACGGCCATATCTCCGTAACGGCGCGGCGAATCCGCACCAAATTCGGGGGACCCCTTCAGCTCGAGGAACCCTCTCGAACGCGAATCGAGTGTACGTCTCGAGGCCCTCTTTCGAATGAGACCACCCCCGCGTGAATAGCCCCCGGGGTTCGGGAATTATTGGTGGTTAAATTCGCGGTCCGGCGCCGACCGATCAAGCGATCCCGGGGGGCTACCAACGTGCGTAGGGTGGCGTTCGAGAGGGCTTCTCGAGCTGAAGGGATCCCCCGAATTTGGTGGAGATCCGCCGGTGCGTTCGCGAGATAGTGACACCAGTCAACACTTTCACTTCAGTAAGGAGGTTTCTTGTTCAGGCAGCATTCAAGCGTTGTCTTATTAGACCATAAGTGCCCTGCGAATACGGTATTTATTTTATTTCAGTATAAAGAGGTCACATCCATTGTAGCAAGTATAATGTCTTCATCTAGATTTTTTATGACTGACAGACATTGAAGAAAGTCTCTGGTGTCCCTAAGATAGCTAGGAAGGGTAGCTATTGTTTAATTTGTAAATATTTCTATTTAATAGCTTTAATTTATTTTATTTCAGTTTTTTTTGTACCTCAATTTAAAGGGATAGGTCACCCAAAAATAAAAATTCTGTCATGAATTAATTACTTACTTTGTTTATCTTTGGAACACAAATTCAGATATTTTTGATGAAATCCGAGAGCTTTCCAACCCTGCATAGACAGCAACGCAACTGACAAGTTCAAGGCCCAAAAAGGTAGTAAGGACATCGTTAAAACTACGGTTAAAATTACGGTTGAACCACTGATGTCACATGGACTATTTTATCAATGCCCTTACTACCTTTCTGGACCTTGAACATGAACTTATGAACGTGAACTTATTTTCATCTAATACAGTATTGACCCGAATATAAGACGATGTTTTTTTCTTGGAAATACATCTGAAAAAACGCGGTCGTCTTATATTCAGGGTCTAGACTTTGACATGTCAATAATACACTATTTCAGCTTTATTTCAAATAAAGATACAATTTTTAATAGTTAACAATGACAATACTGATTATAATCGGTTTGTATATACCCAACAGCTGATTTGATGCATAGTCTACATTAAAAAAAATAATAATTTGTCATAATTTACAATCATGCCATTCCAAACTTGTACGGCTTTTGTTGAATATGAAAGATGATATGTCAATGGGAACCAAAACAACATTGGACCCCATTGACTTCCATAGTACACACACACAAAACATTATTTTTCAAATATCTTATTTTATGTTCCACAGAAGAAAGTCATACAGGTTTGGAATGACATGGGGATGAGTAAATCATGACTGAATCAAAGGTAAATAAATGTTCTGGTCAAAGGTTAACGTGATGTAAAGTTTAGTAACACCATCAGCTGGGACTCAAGCGCTATATATGTAGCACCAAGCACATTGTCCAGATTTGTGTCAGCGAAACATAAAGCATATACTTCCCCTGTGAGGCAAGACCATGCGCACTGTACTGGGTGACCTCATTTTTAAGCACAAAAGATCCTGCGAGAGTGGCGAGCTCGTGAGCAGAAATGAGGAAAATAGCTTTGCCCATGGGTAGCGGCGAGGGAAAAAAGCATTAAAGATACCTCACATGGAGAGACACAGGAAAGCTTGAGAGGGCCACTGTACAGTTTCTGAGTCTAGAGAGTGTCTCAAATGCCAAACGCCTACACAGCGATGTAAACACAGACATGGTCGCTCAAGACGACAGTCAATGGTGAGCGGTTTCCACAGCGCAACCAAACCGAATACGACAGATCAAACTCTGACTAATTTAGAGAGGAAACTTTCCATTCATAATTGAAATTGTTTTCAGCATATCCTGAGCCATCTGATGCAATGGCATCGAAAACAGTCAGGTGATGCTAAACAGTCACAGGTTAGCTGCAATCTAAACTGCTTTACATTACAGTATAGAGTAAAACTCCTCTCGGCTTCCCACAGTCAACTGATTACCTCACAAATCATGTCCAGACATGACTCAAGCTGCGCAGGTAAGATCATGTTGCATAACTAACATGCCTACAATCAGGGTATGTCATCTCACTCAACAGATCTGACACAAGCCCACAGTAGGAGCACACTGTCTGTGAGGAATAGCACTACTGCAGCATTCAGAGACTCCGCACACATCATATAGAGCGTCTAGAAACTAGAGCGTCCAAGACAAAGAGCAGCATGAATCAGGCCAGCATTTCCGCAGAATTCTCTTTACAAGTTTTGAAAACATGTTCTAACATCCAAAGTAATTTACAGTTGCAACGAAAGAGAAGTAGTGACAGGTGTTTTCTTTTTTTATTGTGATGCACAACAGGAGTCTAACGAATTATTGAAAAACATAGGGCGGGGGCCTTGGTTTTATGAATCTGTTGTCTGATTGGATTTTGAGATGTTGGCACTGCAATCAAAAATGTAATGAATGTGAGCTTGGAGGGGCGGGATTAATGATGTGAGAAGTCCTGCATGTGTCATCAAAGAGATGTTTTTTTATTTTTACCGAAAGATCCAGTTATGATTGAAAAATAGAAAAGAACAAAAATATTAAAACTGAAACATATACATTGATAAAATCGTTTACAATTAGATCTACTGTATAACATGCATTCAGAAAATAGATTTGGCATGAATTTTCATTTCAGCTTAATTTAGCATCGTTATGTCAGGCATGAGGAACAAAGTGCAAACATTGCATACAGAATGTCACTACGGTCCATTTATATGCATGTGAATGCAGGAGACAAGTTTCACTTTTTGCTGTGTTCCAAAGTTCAAGTTTTGTTAACTCTGACCAGTGAATTTGTATCATGTGAAGACGAGTGCTCAATAAAAGACTGATATGCCATAGCATGACCTCTTAGCTAAATTAAATGAGTAAAAGCTGCAGGTGTGCATATATATAGTATATTGTATCTTTTTGCATTTGGGATGTATTGTTAATTTTACGTTTAATTTCTTTTTTTTAAAAAGACACAGGAGAGCTTGATGTCATGTTACGAAGTCATAATTTTGCAAGCTCAAAGTCTAGTGTCACCACCCCTTAAGTCTTGCTAGAATCAGAATTTAAAAATGTACTTTCTCTCGCCTCCTGACCCTCGTACTTTTCAAACATAAGCGAAATCCAGTCATTCCAGTTTGAATCTGGGCAACCAGGAGTTTCGCATGACGTCGAAAAAGTTCCCAATGCAGACTTTGCACATTTTTAAGTTGGGTATGTGAATTTGTTGCGTTGACCAACAGAAAACTGCTTGTCTTTAAAGTGACTTCTGTTGTGAGCTGTGCTTTATATATCTTTGCGCTATTGCCAAAAAACAATAGATTTTTTTACTGAAATGTGACCAAGTCTTGCCAGATTCAAATTTGAAATTGCATTTTATCTTGCCTCCTGGCCCTCGTCCGTTAACTCCCAGTTTGATTCCAGCAGGTTTTTAAGGGCCAGTGATTTTTCCTGTTGGTGGGAAAGGGGAACTAAGTACCCATCAAGCAGAGCATCTGAAAACCAAGGGACTCAGCATCCAGATCACTCAAGAGCCCAGGATCCAGAGCATCCCAGCGCACACCACTCTGACCACGCAGCCAGAGAATGTATGTCACAGAGAAATTATCTCAAACAGACCGAACAAAAGACAGACAGAAGCTACAAATCCAACACAATACGTGCACATGTTTAACACTAAAACATCTTGATAGTATATCATATAATGGCGGGGACCAGAAGTGAAGCTGTCTGCAATGCACACATTGCTATTTATTATAGGCCTCACACAGCATAGAGCATATCGGTCGGATGAATACCAGATACAGTCTGTGTATCAGTGTAAAACATCCAGCTATAATTTTACTCAGACGCAAAACACGGTTGACGCAAAAAAAAAAAAAAAACTACAAACTGCTCACGGTATATACAATGCGAAATTTGACAAACAAAATTACCATAATCACTTCGGTCGTGTCAGTCACGTTATGCATAAAAATGAAGGACTAATGTTTATTGAATAGAATGTTTCATGCATTAGATAAGGCAGAACTCCAGACGAATTATGTAACGTTAGTAATAATAATAATAATTTTTCCACCGCTATTATTTCATCAGATGCTCGAGGACTAACAAATAGTGCATCTTTGTGTTCAAAAAATTTGATAAAATATTTTTCTCTAATTTCTGACAATAAAACATCTCTACATGTGTCTAAAATAAACATTTTAATGTAATAATTCTACTAATACTAAAACGGTTCGTGCATCTCTAAGCTGTGTTTCTCAGTCAGGTGCATGAATATCATCTCCCATATTTTCCCTCCATCATTAATGGCGAGATGCTGAACAATATATTTCACCCATTGTAAGTCAAAACATCTCACTGTATCTCTCCACTCACCCGCAGAGCAGACAGGTCGATCTCATCCAGACTCCTCGCAGGAGAGTCACTCGCCATGATTATCTGTTATATTCAACAATATAATGCCCGCAATAACATGAATACAGACGCCGAACTGATCCGTGTAATACACCAAACAGGCTGGATCGACTTCAGTCGGAGCAGATGAAGCTCCCGGATGGTGCTTAGCCGCTGTTCTTCGCGATTCCGGGTTTATAAAACCGAATTAGCCGCTATAGGACTGTATGTGAAGGAGACATCGCGTGCTTGTACCGATGATCTGCTGCCGCACGACTCCAAATCACCAGCGCCAATGGACGTGTGAATCAGGGCTCCGGCGGGGAAGGCGTGTCAATCACCAGCGTTTCTAGGGCGTGGCCTCTGAGTGAAAGGCGGGGCCAAACTCAAACAAACAATGTATACAATAGCATATATATATATATATATATATATATAAAATTATTATTAATATAATAACAATACATTATTATATAAATATATAATGACTACAACTACCACAGGGATATGAGTTAACATGCTTAACAAACTGGACAACATTTGTAGTTCTTTTAAATCTACTTTTTTAAAAAGCATGGCTTCAAAATTTAAATTTTGTCTGGTTTTAGCTGATCTTCCAGCCTTGTCAGTGCTGGTTATGGCTGTTTTTAGAGTGGTTTTGACCCCATCTTTAGCTGGTCAGGCTGGGAGACCAGCTAAAACCAGCTATTTCCATTTTAAACTAGCCAACCAGTTTAGGCTGGTTTTAGCTGTTTTTTCTTCTTCCAGCAGACTGTGTAATTTTTGCTGTAGGACAAAACCTGAAATCTGACCAGCTAAGACCTGCCTGCCAAACACCTTTAAACTTTTAGACCAGGGCTGCCCAAACTGGGTCCTGGAGGGCCGGTGTCCTGCAGAGTTTAGCTCCAGCTTGCCTCAACACACCTGCCGGGAAGTTTCTAGTATGCCTAGTAAGAGCTTGATTAGCTGGTTGAAGTGTGTTTGATTAGGGTTGTAGCTAAACCCTCCAGGACCGAGTTTGGGCACCCCTGTTTTAGACTTTTTAGGTTGTTTTTTTTTTCAGCAGAATATGGCAAATTAGAAAAGCCCCAACCCAGGGGGCAGTTGCATAAACATAGTCACCATGTTAAGACACCCTAGCAACCAAAATAAGAATGTTACAACCTCTCAGAACACCTTAGAAACCACACAGTAACTCCCCTGAATTGTGACAGCGAGTTGTGAACGGAAAGCCACTACTTATATTTGCTTCAGAAAATGTATAGCTGTCGTAGTGACTATGCACGTGTATTGAGCAGATTATAATATGTAAAAGCAGTCAGAAACAGGAAGCCGCACTTCAGACAGTGAGTGAGACATTGAGCCACAAACAGCACACTTCCCCTATGGCAAGCCGTTTTAACATTTAATCTATAAGCCGTACTAGTATCTATTTTCATGGTACTAGTATCTATTTTTTAGATACTAGTATCTTTTCCATTAAGTACTAGTACTTATTCATTAGGTACTAGTGCTTATTCTTTAGCTACTAGTGCTTATTCTTTAGGTACTAGTGTTTATTAGTACTAGTACTTAATGGAAAAGATACTGGTATCTAAAAAATAGGTACTAGTACCATGAAAATAGATACTAGTACGGCTTATAGATTAAATGTTACAACGGCTTTCCATACACTTCCTCTCACCTTCCGTTTATGTAAGCAGTGTGATTTATAAACACCTCCTCCCCCCACATCACCTTCCTCTCTCATTCGCCTTGGCAGAAAACATCCTTTCTGACACACTCAGTCTGTCATAACGACAGTCTCATTCAATGCCATGATCTCGGCTACGTTTCACAATTGGTTTGGTTAGATTGAAACTGTGGCAATGAACCATTTACAGTACATGTCTGTTTTTCTGTCTATCCATTTGTCTACTGTCTGTTTTTCTGTCTATCCATTTGTCTACCTATATGTCTGTCTATCTACAATAACTGTCTATCCGTTTGTCTATCTATCTATCTATCTATCTATCTATCGACACAGTACTTCAGTGAATAGTGCTCCATCTAGTGGTGGATGTGTGGTATCATTCGGTCACATATGAAATTTAATGGGGGATATAAATTATTCTGAAGGATTGTTGTGCTGGAATGGAGGAGCTCAGAGTATAAAACAAATTATTCTGCCAGAACAGAAGGTCTTCTTATAGATTATGAAAAATACACACAAATGTGCCATACAGGAGTCTTGAAATCATACTCTGTGCCTTTTTAAAGTTTTTCTCACAACATCTTGTTTGTAAAAATCCATGTTTCCCCAGAGTGAATCCCTGTCAAGCATTCAGCTAGTGTGAAGCCTCCCTTGCGCAATAGCTTTCATCTTATCAGCACAGACTCTGCTATGTGTGTGCTACATTTCTCTCATTCCTCTCCGCTTTTTGCCACAAGACAGCTTTGTTCCTCAGTGACTTTTGCCTGTAAAAACAGGCCGTTTTTGTGTACTTGAAAACCTGATTGGGTTCCTGATTGGGCTCTATCTGTTGCAACAGCACCATTAGCATTAGCATTGCCTGTGAGAAAATGTTTTGTGCTGACAATGCAGTCACATTGCAGTGGTTTGTGCAATAGCCTGCCTTTATAATAAGATCCTTTGTATTTGTGTGGCTTAGCCTGATCACATTACATGCCTTCAAACCAGATTTGCTTCCATTCATCATCGCCACTGTTGTTTAGATTTTCTAAAGATTTGAGGAGTCTATGGGAAAAGGGCGATTATCTTTCTTCCCCTGTCTAATGGACAGTGAATTAGTTAATAGTGTTAGCAGAACAAAATCCTTCACACTTGTACACATTTAATTAAAGACTTTGCTATAATGATGCTGCCGTCTGACACGCGTATGTTCTTCTGAGATATTTATTAGGAGTGATACCCGTGGTTATGCAACACTTTTCCCTGTGGATTCCCGTGAAGAATGAAGTAGGTTAATCAGGCCTATTATAATAAATGTGAGGTTCTTGAAACAGCATCCTGTGGATGTAATAAACAAACAAACAAACAAAAAAAGAGAGAAAAATAGGAGAGTATATTGAGGAAAAGGAAGTTGAGTTTTAATGTTTTATGTAACTGGTTGTCAGGATATTAATAATTAAAAAAATAATAAAAAATTGTAAAAAAAAAAAAACACTAAGAAAATTTAGAAACTAAATGACCCCAGTGAGGATTTAACTCATCCTTGTGGGAAAATATTGTACCACACCCTCTTCCTAGGGTTCACAAATAAATATATTCAAACACCTGGTCACATTTTAAACCTGATAAAAAGATTTCGCTTTTTTATTGTAACAAAAAGGCTCACGGGTACACATATCTGAGGATTTTAGAAACAATGTTCAGACATGCATGAGCTTGAGCACAGGACAACATGCTTTTGTAGTAATCCTGGCCTTTATCTCTCTCTCATTTCTTTTCAGTCAGACAGAAATGACACTTTGTGTATGGGCTTGTTCTCTACAATAACTGAGACCTGCTCAAGGCAAACTTTAGGTCAGTTATGAGACCCATCATTCTAATAATAGAGCATTTATACACTGAAACAGCAGCTAATTTAATATCAATTTGACAGTGAAATGTAATATTTGTATGTGAGATTATTAAAGATTCCAAACTCGCTCAGGTTTTATAGCTTTATAATTCCACTGGTGAGTTTCTCCCTTGTAACACCCAATGAGGTGATATGTGCACTATGTGAGAGGTAGGTCAAAGGTCAGGAGATTGTATCAGGGACTGTTGCTCAGCTGTAGCTCGCAGACTGCAGTCTGCAGGGAACATGACAGCTGTACATATCCCAGAGAAACACATGTACACACCACACACACAGACCACAGAGACAGTAAGACAGTGTTCACACATTCAGTCATTATCAGACACCCCAGAGACACACTCACAGCCGCAGAACAGACATGATGTTCCAATCAACCATTTGTGTAGTAAACCCCAACACTTTGAAGACAGATAGATAGATAGACCTACAGACAGACTCAGTAGTGTGAAAATTATGGTTTAATCATCTGTATAACATCAATTCACATATTTCATAAACATCCCAACACAGATCATTGGTGTTTTTGATGATACATATTTTGTGCAAAAATGCAATTAATGGGGAAAAGGGGAAAAATACATGAAGAAAAGAAAGAAAAAAAAAAAAGAGAACAGGAATTAGTTTCTGAAGTAAAAGTGCAGATACACAGTCAACAGTGCAGACATTTGAGTGCTTGGCTAACAACTGTTAGAAGATACTTGCTGGATATTCAGAATGCGGGACACACATGCTGCAGTCTTTACGGTGACATGGAAATCCTGAACAGTTTATTTAAACCGTAGCAGTTGTAGTTGATTCAGTACTTTTAAATGGAATGTCATGAGCAATAATTTCATTACTTCAAGAACGGACAGTAAACTTCATTAAAGCTCCAGGCATGTTTTTACAGTATACTGTACAATATGGACAAGTAATGGGGATAAGTCTAAATACTAGTCTTATGAAAACAACTTGGTGTGGTCATAATAGACAAATGCTTTGGTGGGTTTTAGTTCATAACCAGCATTAAGAACACACAGTAAACAAATAAGGCCACCAAAACATGGCAATTCGTACCATAGGAAAGCAACATGCCCAACCATGTCCACTATTACATAACCATAAATTACCTTGAGATATAGTACACAAGGAATGTTTGCACTGCATATAGAGAAAAGATGAAAGTTACACATACATAGTTGGCACTTAATTGCAGAGAATAATACCTATTCAGTGCATGTTACAGGGCACAAAACCGTTCAGTAATAATGAACAAGAAACCAACATACAGCATCCAATCAGGACACCACAAAAGCATCCATATCACCATTTTATAGGATTTATGAGAATAGTTCATAAAAAAATAATATTAGTTGCATAGTGTTAGAATATATAAACAATCAAGCTTCAAACAGGGATGAAACAAACCAAATCTGGTGTCCAGGTGGGTAAACAACTTATGGCTGAATCTCCTTCAGATCTCATTTTCTGTCTCAGAAGTGTTTGTTATATAATAAGAAAGCTTAGGTCGTTTCTGGTACATCTGCTAGATTTGCAGTTTCTTATTTTATTCGGGTGATGTGGGCAGGTTTTCTCACGTCCACACGTCCATGGGCACCATGGATTCTTTTGATCCGATGGGTGGCAGAAGGTTCTGCTCGCTGAGGAACTGGAGAGGGAACTGCACCAGGAAGCCTCGAATCTTCTTCAGCTCCTCTTGAGCACG